TTTATGTTGCTTCTGTAGCTGCTGCCATCGAAGTCATGTAGCTGCTGAAAAGCTTAACTCCATCCTGAGTAAAGTTCCTTTCTAGCCTAGACATCTGGAAATAGGTAAACCATTACGATGTGTAGTACGAATCATGACTTTCACACTTTAAATGATTTGATCTTTCATCAGTGGATCCCTTCCCGCTTCTCCCTAAGCCCTCCAATTCTCTTGCTCAATTGCTTGTAACTGACAGACACAAAATGAAAGAGTGTCTGTCTTAAAATATACACAGGCACATCATAGCTATAAATAACAGAACAGGGTCATTTAAAGGAATTCTAGATGAGATGTTAAAGAAAGTGCAGATTTACAAAGTAGCAGTTAACCACCAAAATTATAGTTAACATAAATATGTGCTTTATGTGGTCTTTTAAGGTATTCTGACAGTGTGCTAAGGGCTGTGCTGCTTTGATCAATCTGTGGTGAATTCTGGAACTTCTGTTCTCTCTTTGACTACTTAAAGTACAACTGAGTAACTCAGAAAAGCAAAACAAGTACCTCATCTCCTGTGGCCTTGTGATTGAATGACTCTGAATTTGGTAGAGTGCAAGCCCCAGATGAAGCCTTCCCATTGGGTAGTAATCCCATTAATATCCTTGCATTCCTAATACAGATGCACTGCAGCTTTCAGTCAGGGTTGTAGACTGGGCTTCTCTACCTAGCTGCCTACTCACAAATCTTAAAGGAGCAGAATTATTATGCACGAGACCTCTACTACTTTGCTGATAAAACTGGCCAACAACTTCAGAAGCTATCAGGGAGAGAAGAACAACAGAAAAGATAATTACATATGATCTGTTTTCTTAGAAAAGTGAATGAAAAGCTCTTACTTTTTATTTCTTCCCTGACACAATGAATCAGGCACTTTTCTTTTTAAATCAGTAAGGCAGAGAAGACATAGGAAGACAGACAGATGAGACTGTTACTATTATGTGAAAGACAGGAACTGGCAAAGAATATCAAGGATAACAAGAAGGGCTTCAAGTATATCAGCAGCAAATGGAAGACTAGGGGTAATGTGGGACCGCTGCTGAACGAAATGGGTGCCCTGGTGACAGAAGATACAGAGAAGGCAGAGCTACTGAATGCCTTCTTTGCTTC